GGGTCATAATTTCGGGTCCTAAACCATTCAAGTTGTTCAACTATGTCATGGAGGAGGATGGGTTTGGTAAGATGATGGAGGATGAATTGTTTAAGTTGTGTAAAGTAAAGAAGAAAATACCAATTTCTATTGTCTTAAAAGAGGTGGAGAAAGCTGTGAAGAGATGGTCTAATAAGGGTTACCTAGAGCTTCCTGGAAAAATTAGTAGTTTGGAAAAAGAAATTCAGAAGTTGGAAATTGGTATGTAACAAGGCATGCCTATGGTGTCTATGAAGCAACTAATAGAGGCAAAAAAAACAATTATGGGACCTCTATAAAATAGAAGAATCGATTTGGTTACAAAAGTCGAGAGTCAAGTGCAGGTTGGAAGGGGACAAGAACACAAGATTTTTTCATCAATGTGCTGGAGGTAGAGGTAGGTGGAATTGTATAAAGTCCCTCAAAGTGGGGAATGAAGTCACTTCTGATCTAGTAGGATTAAAGCCTCAGTGATGGAATTCTTTAAAGATTTGTTTAACCAGAAAATACACTGGAGGCTGATGATTTGGAGTTGGAATTTCTAAAACTATCGAATGAGCAAAGTATGGCTCTTGAAAAGCCATTTTTTAAAGAGGAAATCTGGGAAGTCATTGCCAATTTGGACAGCAACAAAGCGCTTGGACCTGATAGGCTGAATTTAGGGTTTTTTAAAAAATTCTAGTCAAGCTTGAAAGAAGTTATGCTGCTGTTTTTTAAGGAATTTTATGAGGGAAATGAATCCGGAGGGTCTAGAAGATTTTAGGCGTATTAGCCTTGTTGGAGGGTTTTATAAAATTCTTTCAAAGGTTTTAGCTAGAAGGTTGAGCTTCTACATTAATGAAGTTATAAGTCCATCTTAATTTGTATTTATCTCGGGGAGACACATAATGAATTGCTCTTTTATTATAAATGAAGGTATTGACTTTTGGAGAAAGAAAAGATTGAAGGAGATTGACTTTAAGTAGATTTTAAGATAGCTTATGACTCGGTGGATTGGGAAATTTTGATGAAAATTATGAATAAAATGGGGTTTGAAGTTAGATGGTGCTCTTGGATTTATAAATGTGTGTCATCTGCTTCTATTTCGATCCTAGTAAACGGGAATCCAACGGAGAAAATTCACCCTTCAAAAGGATTAAGGCAGGGTTGTTCGTTATCTCCGATGTTGTTTAATTTGGGAGGGGAGTTGTTGCATTTACTGTTGGCAAAAGCAATGGACAAGGGGTTGTTTTCGGGTTTCAAGTTAGGTACTCATAATCTCTCATTCATGTTACACATTTACAATTCGCAGATGATCTTATAATTTTCAGCAAGGCAACTATTCGTGATTTGTTGAATGTTAGAAGGTGTTGTTGATTTTTGAATTATTGGTGGGGTTGAAGTAAAATTTAGCAAAGAGCATAATATTTGGAGTTAATGTTGACGAGGAGGTTCTAGATGCTTGGGCTAAGGAATTGGATGTTCAATGGGTTATTTTCCTTCGGAGTACCTAGGGTTACCGTTGGTGGCCAAGAGAAACTCTTTTGCCTTGTGGGAGCCTATTGTGCAGAAATTCTATAATACTTTGGCTTGATGGAAGGCTAAATCCCTATCATTGGCTGGAATGGCTGTTTTGGTGAAATTCGTTTTGTGTTCTCTCCCCATATACTTCCTATCTATTTTTCGGATACCAATTAGTGTTTTCAACAAGTTAAACTCTATTATGATAACTTTTATATAGGGAGGCTCGACAGAAAAAAGAACATTCATTGGTTGAATTGGAAGTTGGTGTGCAAGCCAAATAAATTGGGAGGATTAGGGATTTTGAACTTGATGCTTTTGAATAGGGCTTTATTGGGGAAATGGTTTTGGAAATTTGCATCAGAAAAGAGCTCCTAGTGGAAAAAAGTGATGTGCAGTGTGAATAACTTGAATCTAAATTCTATGATGATTGGGAATAATTGGACATCTCAAGCTTCTTGGATTTGGAGAGGTGTTGTAAAGAATTTCTTTTCTAGTGATAAATTTGGGGATTTTCTTAGGAAAAACATGTGTTTGAGAGCTGGAAATGGAGAATCAATAGAGTTTTGGAATGATATATGGTTGGGTATGGTTCCTATGAAGGACTACTTTCCGAGACTTTATGCATTATCAAATAATAAAAGGGGTAAGGTGGAAAAATTCAGAATTAACAGTAATTCGGGTTGGGTGTGGGATATACAAGTGAGAAGGAATTTGGTAGATTGGGAGGTTGAGAAATGGTTGCAGCTTATTTCCTTGTTGAATAACACCACTCTCTCATTATTAGAGGAAGATTGATGGATATGACTAGGAAATGGTGAGGGTTGTTTTTCAGCTAAATTGTGCATCACAAAATTTTATGATCAAGAGGGTAATGATGGAGAGGAGGGTAATTGGGACATGCATGTTTGGGCAGGGGTTGCACCTCCACGTGTAGAAGCTTTTGTTTGGCAAGTTGCACATCAAAGAGTAGCAGTTAAGGAGGAACTGTTGAAGAGAGGAGTGACTGGGATTGATGATATTTTATGCCCGATGTGTGGGAAGTGTGAGGAGTCGATTTCACATATGTTTTTGCATTGTGAGGTGGTTTAGGTTTTGTGGTCTAGATTTTTGAGGGACTGGAATATTTCTTTTGTGGTTCCTAAGAAGTTGATTGACTTTATAATTTTGTGGGAAAATTTAATTACGAGATCTACTATTTGGAAATTCATTCCAAGGGCAGTGTTGTGGTCGGTTTGGAAATGCAAGAACGATATTATTTTCCAGAAAGAGAAAGTGGATTCTGCACTGCTGTTCTTTCTTGCTAAATTTAGAACTACTTCTTAGTTTGGGGCGAGATTTGAGGATATAAAAATTCCTTTCGACTCTCTAGTTGAGGATTTAAAACTGGCAGATTCGATAGGAAGACAGAAAAATGGAGCAATGGCTAAGGGATGGGACAAAGGAGGAATAGACAGTTTGATTAGGGATGACATGGGATTGCAACTTGGATCATTCTCAGAAAAAATTGGAGGCGGTCCTCCTATACTTGCAGAGCTATTGGCGATCAAAAGAGGTTTGACTCTCATTGAAGAAGTAGGATCTTTTCCAAGTCAGATGATTATCTTGGAATCGGACTCGACCACGACTCTGAAGTAGATTAAAAATCTAAATTTATGTACCCCTTTATTTCAGTCCTTGGTTAGAGGTATAGCTACTTATGTGGAATAAAAGGGCATCATTTCAAGACATATTTTGAGAGCTACTGATTGAGAAGCGGATGAGTTAGCAAAAGCTGGTATAGGCTGATCTAGATGTTATATGTTGTGGTTCTTAAGTTGTGGTGTTTACTCAGTTTTTTAAGGTTTCTGGTTTTAGTGTTGCAGTATGTGTTATGTTGTTAAGTCTTATGTTACTCTTTTCCTCCTTCCTCTGTTCTTCATGTTACTGATATAATATGTAGGATATGAAGGGGTTTTAATGAGGTCTATCTTCTATCCAAAAAAAATCATTTTGTTTTAAATAGAAAAATTGGAGAGAAAAAAATTACAAAGGGAAATATAGAAAACAAAAAATGGATGTCTCTTGTTCCCATATGTAATGGGGTAAGGGAGAGGTAAGATAGTAGGCTGCCTCCAACACCAAGTTCAGAGCAGCTTCCGTAGAAGACCTCTAAATTATGAAATGCCCTCCGTGGGACTCGATCCCACGACCTCAAGGTTAAGAACCTTGTGCTCTACCAACTGAGCTGGATAGTCATCTCAAAGGGAAATATAGAAAATGATAACATATATTCAATATTCATAACTATCACCGATTTGTCTAAAAACACTAAACGTTACAATAAACTTCCAAGCTGCAGAATTCAGCAATAACAGTAACCCAATGAATTGTTCATAAAAAGACATTTTACTTACAGTTTTCACGCGATTGCTCAGATATAATATTTTGTATCGATTAAACGATAAAAAAATCAAGATGAAATGCAAGTAAAAAGGAAGACTAAGAAAGCGAAAAAACCTTGGAGGGTTTAAGAGGGGAATGGTGACCGTGAAAAATTACTCTGCAACGCGGGTGTATTTTAGGAGATTGTGAACCGTCGATTGTTTTGACTAGTTCATCTTGACTAGTGTAGTTGCTCGACGCGTATTGTTGATTTGTGCCAATCGAATGAAAAACAATTAGGTAAATTACTTGAAATGATCATTCAACTATTAGTATGCTAACGTTTTTGTTACCTAAAAAGCAATCATTTAAGAATCACTACGTTAAAGGAATATGCCATTTTGATCACCAATTATTAAACTTTTAACAGTGGTTAATTTATCTTTTGGTCACTCATTTTTAGATTGTTAAGGTTTTTGTCATGCAAATGTATTTTAGTCATTCATCATTAAATCTCTTGGCAGATGTTTGTGTGACGTTTGATTATAAAAAATTCATTTTAACTCATCAAAAATAAAATTTATTTTAATTGACTTTAGTTTATGTTGTTGAAGAATTACTGACAAAATACATTTGAAGCGGACACCCAAATATTATCTTATAAGGGTAAATTACAAATTTTATCACTGAACTTTACTCTCTCTTATTTTTCTAACTGAACTTTAAATGTTTTTAATTTTCTCACTAAACTTAATACATTGCGTTATTTTGATCACTCCGTCGTTAAATAGTTAACGGCGTCGAAACGACGCCGTTTTAGAAAAACAATTTTTTTTACCAAAACAAAATCATTTTGCATCTATATAATAGCTCATTTATAATGTCGTTAGTGAGAAAACAATTGAGTGACAAAAAAATTCAATGTATTAAATTCAGTGAGGAATTGAAAAAATTCAAAGTACAATAAGTAAAATAAGAGAGTAAAATTCAGTTATCAAATTTGTAATTTACCCATCTTATAATTTAAAAGGGATCGAACTTCAAATTTTATAATCAAATTACTGACTTCCAAACTAAAAAAAAATTGAATTGCAAGGTGAGCTCGGAACGTATTATTCATTTCTCGAACTCAAAATTAGAACTACAATTTTATTGTCAAGGCCACCAAATGGCATAACAAGTACATTAATGGCTCCCGATTTGTAATTCCCCATTTGTGGCAATGTTTTTTTTTTCACACGGTAGTATTCATACATAAGAGACGGAACATTTCCAGCTCCCTTGACAGAAACCCCAGATCCAATTTCCCTCCCCTCATTTCCTGCAAAGAGTCACATGTAGAGCATAATGCATGTCAAAATTGAACTTCTCATTTCGAATATATAAATAATGTGTGCATGCATCTGAGTGCTCTTGTCTATTGCAAATTGAAATTTCTGCTACAGGCACATGCATGGAAATGGTGTCTACAGATATTCTACATGGCTTCAACTCCCACATCATGAAGTTAGTCATAGAAGTTACAATCCACAATATGGAAACCAAACTGATTTCTACCTCCCTCCCCTAACTTGTCTTGTATGATAAACATAAATGGCATGCATAGGCTAAAATGTGTCAATTGTGTGTTATTGTATGTTAAGATGTGGAATCTGAATCATTTTGGCATGTATGACTTGCTGGTGTGATGTTAGGAACATGTTAGGATCGAATGGTTGAAGCTTAGGGGTCATTTTTGTCCATTTCATCGTACTAAAAATGAACAGGGCAACTTAACAACCAGAATTCAGAAGGCATCTTAATCAGAAACAGCCTTGAATATTTTAGGGGGGCAAAGATGAGCTCAAATGAACAGACATAGTAGTAAGCATTGGGTATGCTCATGATATGTTGAGGAATTCTAACAACATTTCATTCATATGCAACATATACAAACTTCATCATAGTGTGAAAAATGGTAATTGAAGCATACCATGGAAGCTTGAAAGCGTCCTTCCACCACCCTTGTTTTGAGCAGTTGGCAACTATTTTGTCTAATCGTACAATGATCTCCGAAAATGTCGGTCTAACAACAGGTTCTTTAGCCCAGCATTCTTCAATTAACCTGTTCATATATTACAAGTAGTAAAGCTTAGAACATTTGTGTGTGCATATTGCGGTACAAGATAAGCCTTAGAATACACAGCGCTTCTTTCTTCTGAAAAGGATGACACGCACAAACCGGGTTTTTCTTTTCGATTAAATGTGTAAGGAACATAAAACAACCCGTACAAACAAACATAACACTGTCGTTAATTCAATAAACTAACTTGAGGTCAGAAAACATGCTTTCATCTCAAACCCCAAACTTACTCTTTTAAGTCTGGAGGATAACTTTTTGATTTCGACTTGAATGATGGTCTCTTCTCTTCCAAACACATCAATCTCAAAATCTCTTCAGCAGGTTTGGGATGAAAAGGCACTACTCCTTCAATCATCTGAAGTTATACAAGAACAAAACAGAAAAGTGGGTAATTCCAACTATCAAACAAAAAAGCAGCTTTAATTGTCTAAACAATTACTTCCCTCAAACCCCTAACAAAGCTCCCCGCCTTGACTACTCATTCTCATAAACCTCACTCAAAATCGCACATATAGAAAGAATTACAGCAGAAATTGGGCATCCATTTTTTTTGTAAAAAAGAAAATCACATTGTTCGCAAGATGTCAGCAAGAAACAAGGAATGAATAGTCAGAATGGAACGTTCATCTCTGTCAGTTGATAACAAACTTTTGAGAGAACATGTACCTCGTATAGAACGACACCGAAGGAATATGAATCAACACTCCGATCAAATACCAAATTCATATAAAGCTCAGGTGCAGCAGATACATCTGCAATCAGAAAAACCAAATTATTAGTCACAGTTTTACCATTTGCAGAAAGCATACATGTATCATACTTATACTAAACACACAGAAAAGGTTTATACTAAACACACAGAAAAGGTTTTCTCTTCCATTTTTGTCACAAACGTACTTTTTGGATCAAGATGATCGTTTGGATGTGCTAATTTTGCCTTGTCAGGTGCTATTCTTGTCAATCTTAACAAACCGAATCCAGATACCTTCAGATGACCTCCATTATCTATCAAAATGTTTCTGGCACCTTACCAAATTTCAAATATTAAAGAACAGTATATCACAATGAGTACAACAAAGGTTATCGCTTGCAATTTCTGCAAGCATTATATCAACTTCTGCAGTGATTGCCTTACTTTGTCCTTAAATTGCAGTGAATGACTGGCTCTGGTTTACATTCATGAAGGTAATTCATTCCCCTGATATCAAGAAAATGATAATCAATAAAGAGAATAACCAGGAGAAATAAAATGCTAGAAGAAGTTATATGCACTACTAAATAAAGGATATTAAAGGATAAAAGAACAAGCATATTTGGAACATTAACATCCGAGTTTAGCTTAGGAGGAGAATAGGACTAATGGAGATTAAAGTGACAATAACAAAAAGTATTCTTGAAGTATAATTCAAAGAAAGAACATGCCTGGCAATGTCAAGGGCAAATCTTAAGACTTTGGATGGTGATAGACGCCCTTTCTTTTGAAGGTAGCTTCCCAAGTCACCCTAAAATAAGGATAATCTCCATAGTAATTTTAATGTAGCAAGTAAAGCACTAAATACTTTTCTCTAGACAAAGCAAACTAAGTTGATGGAATGGTACCTTCGCACAGATAATGTTTCAATAACCAAATAAAGGAACCATGCCAGAAAAGCTTAAAGTAATACTATCTCAAGGATGCATAAAACTATGTGTAATAATTTTGAAGTATCAAAAGCTCTAGTGAAGAAATGAAGTACAAAGAAAACAAAGTAGAATCAATAACTGACTGCACATGGTTGCGAGGCTAAGTTCATTAAATAGGGAGCCAATCTAGGCAATGTATAAGTCATTACTCAATTCCTCATTTCACCACAAGGCAATATACAGTGATCTAGGTTACAAAATGCGCATACATCTTAATCCTTTTTTTTCTCTATAAATGGACAAGCTGTGCGTTTCCCTTCAATAACTATTTCACACAGAAGCATGCATAGATATGGATAAAATAGACAAATTTACAGAACAAAAATACAGGCAACACAGTCGAGGGGCAAGCAGCAAGAAGAAGTGAGAGAGAGAGATGCTTACTTTTGAAGGATACTCGGAGACAAGCATCATGGGAAAATTTTGTGTAACAGCTCCAACAAATTGAACCACATTCGGATGTCGAACCTTTTCTAGCAAAGTTAGCTCATACTTGAAATCATTTCTGTTAAGAGAATATATATATATACACACAAAAAAAATCTTAATATACTTTAACAATAATTAGAAAAATCATACAGCTCTTGAAAAACAAGAAATATAAAGTAACAAAATAAAGTATGTGCTAATCTCCGTAGAAGTTGATACAACAAAATCATCAACGTAACCATGTAACCTCAAAATTTGTACTGAATACATTTAATACATCTGGTGCCATTATACCAGATAAAAAATGATTGAAGGAATTCAGAGGCATATTCCCTAATTAAACTACAAGAAGACTGTGATATGAATGAATGAAAGTGCATAATTGGTAAAAACTGTATCAAAATTTTACACACCAATCACTCTAGTACTCGGTGGCGGTACAAAGCTGTTAGAAAGTTACTTTACAACGTCTTTTTTTCAGTATTAATTCTATCAGAACTAGAGCTATATTAAGCTATTGTTGCTCCCAACATATATCCTTGGTTTCTTCTCGTTGGAATTTGGACCAAAGAACTAATCTGCTGGAGGAAAATCAGCAAGCATGCTTGTTTCTTATCCGGTTCTTAGGTTATATGAATGTTGGAAAGCATGCAAACGCTCTCGTCAACCTTTTGAAACATTCATATGCAAACTTATTGCAGACCCTTAAAAACATGCAAATAAGTGGAAAAAAAGGATATGCGTAATTTTTAACACAGACATGATAAGAAACACACAAATTTATTGATGCATAAATATCTATATAAAGAACCAGCACGCAGACACTGAATTCCAAGAAAGTGTACACAGCAAAGGAATGCGCATAATACAAGAGTAAGTATAAATGAATGACTTCAATAAGGAAACAGCACATGTATGTTGATTCACATGAGTCAACACATAAAAAAGTAAACAAAGTAAGTGCATACATGGTCAATTCACATGAGTCAAAAACACAAAAAGGAAAACAAGGTAAGTGCATACATGGTCTCAGGGTCTGAATAGCTGTCTGTATCTAGTATCTTTACAGCAACCTTGGTGCCATTCCATTTTGCAACTTGATATGATCCCTGGCAAGAGATTTATGAAACGTTAACAATCTATATATATATATATATATATAGAGAGAGAGAGAGAGAGAACAAAGAGCAACTGATAGATCTCCTAAACTTTGAAACGACAATAAATATAAATTCATCAAGATGCAGATCAGTGCAGTGTTCATCAACCCCAGAGACAAAAATTGTGGCTGCCTAAGAGTAAGTCTTAGCTAAAACAAAAGTTTGCCCAAAGCAGCAAGAGTTTGGTCAAAAATTGAGGGAGATAATGGAGACTAAAATATGTTTCTTCATGTACCATTTCGTATATGATTGACAAGTTCAAAGCTGTACCATAAAAGTAAAGAAAAACTTCAATCTTGGGTCTGTCTTCTTGAGAATCTAAAATGGATTACCACCAAGATTTTAAGATAACAGATTCTTTTAAAAAATTATGAAAACGCAGAGACCACAAGAAAATATTGAATGTGTGACACCCAAAGTAATGCCAAATAAGCCTCTGTTGAAAGTGGAACTGAGCGGAAAAGAGATCCGAATCTAGCAAGAGAATCCTACCCTAATCCCTCCACGGAGTAATACATGAAACATTTACATAAGAAATCATCCGCACATCAACCTGATCACCTTTCAAATTGGACCATACTTGAATGTCCAAAAGAATCAATGTAGTAAAAATAAGCTAAGAGAACCATACCTTTGTTATACCATCAGACTTCCGAACTTGAAGCTCCAAGGGATTAAGCTCGTACTCTGGAACTTCTCGAGGATTAGAAACTGTCATTGGCGTATTCCTGGTTTTCTAATATCATAGCATACATGTAAATATCAATCGTCATAAATGCATAGCAATGACAATAGAAATGGCATTTAGATTGAAGAAGAGAGTTTAATGTCGTACAGGAACGTTGGCTCCACGGGCCTTCAAAATATTGTAGACCTCCGTATTTCCATAGTACTTTGCATCCGCAGCTGCCTGCCCATACAAAAAAATAAACTTACTAACATGCTCAATATGCATTGAAGTCATAAATAAAACTGCATTTGATATGCAGTATGATATCATCAAGGAAATAAAGCTGTCTGCCCATACAAAAAATAAACTTCCACAAAATCATTGAATCTCCTAGTTCAAGACCAATAAATTTTATTAACAGAACCAACAAATAGAGATGAATTATGTTAAAGCTGAACCTGCAAATAAATCTTATTCCCCTCCCTTCGATTTTGAACAACTAAAGGGTTCAAAAGAAAACGGACGGAACAAGCAAAAAGAAATAGAAGACGAAGAAAAGTACCGTGCTACCCCAACGATCACGGGCATCAATATTAGCCTTCTCAACAAGAAGAAGCTTAACAACCTCAACATGACCTTCACAAGCAGCGATGTGCAAAGCAGTACGGCCATCCAAATCAATACTATTAACGTCAACGCCTTCATTCAACAAATCTTCCACTCCTTTGACATCCCCTCTACACGCCATGAACAGCAGATGCATGGTCGCGTCAAGGTTCTCCGGCACCGCGATCCCATCATGGACGGGACTCCGCCTGATTGGGTCAAGCGACGACTGCCGACCGAAGCTGAACCTTTGGTTGTTCTTCCGGGGGTCGAGCGATGCCTGCCGTGTGAACTGGCGGCTGAAACTCTGTTTCAACGACCCAGTAGAAAACTGGCGGGAGATTCCCTTTTTCAGCTGACCTGCTATGTTTGTCATGGTCCGTTTGTTATGATACAACAAAAAGGGTAATCCAGAAATCAACTGCAGAATTGGGAACAGCAAGACAAGTCAGATAAGAATCATTCGAACAGCGACATGATTCTGGAATAAAGGGGAATAAATTCTAAGCTGAGGGATCTCGAAACGAAGCCCAAGCCTGAAGGAGGAGACGAATGCTAGAATAGACTAATCGAGATCCGAGCTAGGAACATTGCAAGAACTAAAACAGAGAAAATAAAGAAATTTAAAGCTGGTGGAAAATGGGTTGGCCTCAACCGATGAAATCAACGAAAATGGCGTTCGTCAAAAAAATCTAAAATGATTTCTGTATGACATGTTACTTGCATATATGAATTCTTGATAACTAAGATTCATAACATATTCTTCTTTTTTTTCTTTAATTATAATTCAGATGGCTGGAATTCAAAATCAACGACTGAGTCAATGGACTTATACATATAAAATAACATCACTCTCTCGTTGTTCTAACGTCTTTTTCTTGTTAATATGCATTTCCCTATTTGATAATAAATAAATTATTTTTAAAATTTATAAATAAATTATTTAATAAAATATTATTATAAATATATTATTTCATACTAAAAAATAAAATAAAGATCTAATTTAATTGTTATAATAATATTTTTAGTCCCCAAAGAATTTGTGTATTCTATTATTTTTATATTGGTTTAAAATAATTTAATAAATTTAATCTTTTATATTTAAAACTTTTATCAATTCAATCTTTTTGGCCGTACTTTCAAACCAGATGAGTCTGTCAAATCAAATGAGTAGTTAGATAAGTATTAAATGTTATTATATAAAAAAAATATTTTTAGAAGAACCATTAATTTAAGAGTAGAATAAAGGTAAAATGATAAATATTTTTAAAATATTAAAGGCCAAATTTATTGAATTTTTTAAAATTAGGATTAAAATTTAAAATTTATATATTTTAATAATATAATATTTAATTAATTTTTTAATATTTTTCTTATAAAAATTATTTATTTATAATATATAAAATAATTATGATTAAAATGTAAAATTTTGAAAAAAAATAAGTAATAAACAAAAATATATTAACTATTTTATTTTATGGTTAAAAAATATAGAAAAATCAACCATCAGTTAATAGGGTGAGATAAAGCACTAGATTCTTTCAACAATATCAGAGGGTCTAATATTGACTTTTACGAATTGAACAAATTGGGTTGAGAAGATCATGTTCACCTTTATAGTACTCAATCTGAATTAATAGATCAATAGATCGAATACTGATGATTATAAAAATATATATATAGAGAAAATGGCCAAAAACCAAGACAGCTACTGAAATAATGGGCGATTTTTCCCAAAAATCACCGGTGATCGGTATATTTACCGATCTAATACCGGTCAGATTATATTTTCCTATCTAACACCCGTAGCAGTAAAGTGCGCGCCCTAAACCGCGTTATATGCTGATTTGGCTCCACGTAGAGTATAGCGCGCCCTCTGTACCGCGCTATACACTGACTGGGTTACACGTGAGGTATAGCGCGCCCCCTGCTCTGCGCTATACGCCATGTAGGGATATAGCGCGGATCAGGGACCGCGCTATACGCCGTACCAAAATTATATTTAACGCGATCCCTGATCCGCGCTATAGAATTACATATAACGCGATGTCGGTACCGCGCCTTATATGTTTATAAATACCTCATCTCTCCTCACATCTCCTGCATCTCTCCTCTCTTATAAATTAATACAATAATTCTGTCAACGAGTAATAATTTTGGCAATCTTCTAATATTTAATTTAGAAGTTCGTGCGATTTTTCGTTATAAGGTAATTTTGTTATAATTTTTTAATTATACTTATTGTTTATTATCATTATTTGAAAAAATATTATACTAATTATTTTTAATTAATTTTTATGTTTGTACAATTAAAAAGCGGAAGCATACGTCGAAATAGTTTTGCGGTGCAGGTAATAATATAAAATTATATTATTTAAATTATTTATGTTGATATGTAAAAAAAATTTGTGTTATATTTTCGTTTATATATAATTTATTTAATCAGGTTTGTTTAAGTTATTTTTTTTGCAGATATAATATTGCCGCACTTTTAAACTCAAAGAATGGCGCGACTTACAGCTATTGTTTATTATGATGGTGAAATTCGAGAAGATTAAACCGGCGTTGTTTTCGTATCAAATGAGCGTGTTAAAATATCATTCAAGAGAAACATAACTCTTGAGGAGCTAATAACGAAGATTTTGAGGAAGATTCATGTTGGAAATAATAGAAGAATGTCGTCGTTACACTACAGATTTCCAACATCATTGTTGCCATTAACTTATACAGCGTTCGTACTTTCGAACAATGATGATGTTCAAATGATGGTTGAAGCTCAAAGTAATTATTCAAACGCCGCTATTGAGATGTATGCACATTTTGTTCAAGTGCGTGCTGTTCGGGGTCAATCTTTAAGTTCACACTATGGGCTGGCTGAACAAGTTAATCAAGTTGACAGTCCGACTATAGTAATGTGTAATGATTTTAATGCCATAATGGGGAGACATTCATCCGGAACTCCTTACGATATGTACCGAGGTGGGTCCACGAACAATCCGTATGGCAACACCGCGTCCAGTTCAAGGGGAAGGCATTCATCTGCAAATTTCTTTGACCATATGGAGATGCCATCGACACAACCATCTGTGCAGTTTCCATTTGACACGATGGCTTCAAGCTCCAGGGGGAGGCATTCGACTGCGAGCTTTTTCGATCTCAATATCGATAAGCCTTCCAGTTCAAGGGGAAGGCGTGCAAGTAGTAGGTTCTTCGAACTAAATGTGGAGAGCATGGAGGAACCATCATCTCCACCAGAAGAACCGCTTCGTGAGCCTGGTGCGGATGGTGCTGAGACTGAACTATTCATTCACCCAGAATCACCGCAATTCAACTCCGATGATGATGAAGTTCCAGGAAATGTGGCACAAACTGACCCTCCTGCATACATGTATGAAGCTGATTATGGTGCAATGTACGGGCCAGAATTTGCGGATATGCCTCATCTCGGTGACTATGGATATTACTCATCAATAAATAATGGCGAGTTATCTTTAGGCATGGAGCTTTCAAGCAAAGAAAAAGCGATGATGGCTATCAAAAATTACAATATCCGTAATTATGTTCATTCCAAAGTCAACCGATCAACGACCGAAAAATATGTATGCTACTATGTCCGACGCGAAAACAGATGCAATTAGATGGTTCGTGTATCGAAAATAAAGAGGAAAAACAACATATGAGAACTAACAGTATACAACGGTCCTCACACATGTTGTGTTGGAGGGGTCAACCAAGATCATCCCAACTTGGACTCTAAAGTGATATGCCAAGCCATCATGTCCATGGTAAAAGCAAGCTCTCATATAGCTGTTGCAGTGTTGATTTCAGCTATACAATCGCAGTATGGGTACACTGTCTCCTATAAAAAAGCTTGGTTGGCAAAACAAAATGCCATTGTCAAACTTCATGGCGAATGTGATCCATCTTACAATGAACTTCCAGGTTGGTTTAGGCTGGTGCGGACGTTGAATCCTTGGATAATTGTGCACTTCGAAACCTCCTATGCATACCATAATGATCGAGTTCTTCACGATCGATACAAATTCTACCAGGTTTTTTGGAGTTACCCACAGTGCGTTAATGCTGCCAAATACTGCAAGCTTGTGGTATAGATCGACGGGACTTTCTTGTATGGAAAATACAAGCAAGTTTTATTATTGGCAGTTGTCCAAGATGACAATCGCAACATTCTTCCAGTTGCTTTTGCTCTTGTCGAAGGAGAAGATACGGATTCTTGGGCTTTTTTCCTCCGAAATTTACGTGCACATGTTATCACGAGGGAAAAAATTTGTGTCATTTCAGATCGCAGAGCTGGGATCAAAGCAGTAATGGAGTCTTTGGGTCCAATGTGGCAACCACCCTTTGTCCAACATAGGAATTGTCTCCGACACATTGATGTGAACTGTCATGGAAGGTACAAGAAGAATAATGAGCGTCAATTAATTGTGCGCATGGGTAAGTGAAAGCAAGTTAGTAAGTTATACATTTTTTGATCAGGTTACGAACTACTTCCTCGAACATTTGAATCAATGCTTCAAGATTTGCGAGCGAAGAATGAGAAAGGATACGATTACATCAGCCTCATCGATAAAGAAATGTGGATAGACGCATATGATGGTGGATATCGATATGGACACATGATGAGCAACTTGGCTGAGGCAATCAATTCAACCTTAAAGGGTGCACGTCACTTACCTGTAGCGGCTTTGGTAAAAACTACATATTTTTTGTTTGGGGGTATTTTTTTGTGAAGCTCGGGGGACAAGCTCAAACCTGGATGCAAGGCAGTCATGTCTATCACCCTAGATTAGTTGCAGATCTACAGAAAAAAATTGTTGCATCAAATGGAATGTCTGTAACAAGCTTCTCTAGAAGGCATGAAATGTTTCGTGTCACAGAGTTGCCGCGACCTCTTCAAGGGATTGAAGCTGTGTCATTAAGAGTAAATCTAAGGGACAGAACGTGCGACTGCGGGTTTTTTCAAGCTCTGAAGTATCCATGCTCTCATGTGATAGCAGCTTGCTCGCATACATGTCAATACTATAACCATTTTGTGGATCACATATACCTATTATCTGAAGTTTTTAAGGAATAAGAATTTGAGTTTCCCCCATAGGTAATGACAAAGACCCTGATGAGGTTCAAGATTGGCTTCCGATTGTACTAAATCTGAGTTTATTGAGGGAGCGTGGTTGTCCAAAATCCAATCGAATTCATTGCGATATGGATATTCGAGAAAGATCTAGACAAGACAGAAGATGTGGCCATTGTAGAAACCCAGGACACACTAGAAAAACATGTCCACTTCTGTTGTCATCAAGTAACAATTGATGAGGAAATGATGTATTTGTTTATCAAATAATAATTCTTGTATTTTAATTTGCATTTACTTCAAGTTAATGTCATTCGATAATCGCTAATGAAGATTAAAAAACGAACACAATCATTAAATTTTATCAAACTAATAACAATTTGGTATTTAAATACAATAAACTTACAGTAATAATTAAATGGTAAATGATAACCAAATTACAATAACTGATATTAAATGGTAATAAACAAAATTAACTGAAATATATTAAAAAAAAGTCTAACAAATTTAACAAAATAAAGTAAGTATTAAATGAGAAATAATAAAAAA